CTGAACACCTACACAGAAGCGTATGCACACTTCGGCCGTGAGGTGAATGTAGTAAGACTCAGATTCTCTTTCAACCTGCCCCTGGTTCAGACACACCTCCACCATCCCTCCAGCTTAACGGTACTACCCTCTCTATTGTTACCCAATTTTGGTATCTCAGCTCCCACCCGTCCACCACCGCGGACATCGATGAAGAGATTCAGCATCGGATCAGATGTGCATCTCAAGCCTTTGGCAGACTCCGAAAAGGTGTGTTAAGCTGTAGGGAGCTGAAACTAGATACAAAGTTACACGTATATCGAGCAGTGGTTCTCCCCACCATGCTGTATGGCAGCGAGACATGGGTTACATACAGGAGGCACATCAAGGCACTTGAAAACTTTCATCAACGCAGTCTGTTACATCCTCCGAGTTTGCTGGGAAGAGAAAAGAACAAATGCCATTATTCTCGCTGACACCAACTGTAGGAGGATCGAGTCTACCATTATCCATGAACAACTATGCTGGACTGGCCTTGTTATCCGCATAGACGACAGTACATTGTCAAAGCAGCTATTTTACAGTCCCATAACGAATAGTAAACGTAACGCGGGTGGGCAGCTGAAAGGGTATAAGGATAGTCTTAAGACAAACCTGAAAAGTGCCAAATAGGCCCCCTCACCTGGTTGACGATTACTCCACATCGTAACGCTTGGAGGAGCACCACACGAGAAGGTGTCAATACTTTCGAGTTAGCCAACAGCAAACCGAGGTAAACTAGCGCCAACGCCGGAAAGCCGCCACTGCTGTCGCCCCTCCCGCACTGGATGAAGCCCTCCACATGTGCAATATCTGTGATCAACTCTGCCGGTCCCGTATCGGCCTCCTTAGTCACCCCAAAACTCGCCAACAAAGGTGACATCCCAAACAACTCGTATCATTGTATCATAGCTGGATGATCGTTATACTCGATTCCGAGTGATAGCAAAGTAGTAGTAGTAGCCAGGAATACAACAGTAGTCAGTGTTGTAGGCAGGTATACTGCAGTAGTCAGTGCTGTAGGTAGGTATACTGCAGTAGTCACTGTTGTAGCCAGGTATAATGCAGTAGTCAGTGCTGTAGGCAGGTATACTGCAGTAGTGTTGTCGGTAGGTATACTGCAGTAGTCAGTGCTGTAGCCAGGTATACTGCAGTAGTCAGTGTTGTAGGTAGTTATACTGCAGTAGTCAGGTATACTGCAGTAGTCAGTGTTGTAGCCAGGTATACTGCAGTAGTCAGTGTTGCAGGCAGGTATACTACAGTATTCAGTGTTGTAGGCAGGTATACTGCAGTAGTCAGTGTTGTAGTCAGGCATACTGCAGTAGTCAGTGTTGTAGGCAGGTATACTGCAGTAGTCAGTGTTGCAGGCAGGTATACTACAGTATTCAGTGTTGTAGGCAGGTATACTGCAGTTGTCAGTGTTGTAGGTAGGTATACTGCAGTAGTCAGTGTTGTAGGCAGGTATACTGCAGTAGTCAGTGTTGTAGTCAGGTGTACTGCAGTAGTCAGTGTTGTAGTCAGGTATACTGCAGTAGTCAGTGTTGTTGGCAGGTATACTGCAGTAGTCAGTGTTGTAGGCAGGCATACTGCAGTAGTCAGTGTTTTAGGCAGGTATACTGCAGTAGTCAGTGTTGTAGTCAGGTATACTGCAGTAGTCAGTGTTGTTGGCAGGTATACTGCAGTAGTCAGTGTTGTAGGCAGATATACTGCAGTAGCCAGTGCTGTTGGCAGGTATACTGCAGTGGTTAGTGTTGTAGGCAGGTATACTGCAGTAGTCAGTGTTGTAAGCAGGTATACTGCAGTAGTCAGTGTTGTAGGCAGGTATACTGTAGGAGTCAGTGTTGTTGGCAGGTATACTGCAGTAGTCAGTGTTGTAGGCAGGTATGCTGCAGTAGTCAGTGTTGTAGGCAAGTATACTGCAGTAGTCAGTGTTGTAGTCAGGTATACACCAGTAGTCAGTGTTGTAGGCAGGTATAATGCAGTAGTCAGTGTTGTAGGCAGGTATACTGCAGTAGTCAGTGTTGTAGGCAGGTATACTGCAGTAGTCAGTGTTGTAGTCAGGTATACTGCAGTAGTCAGTGTTGTAGGCAGGTATACTGCAGTAGTCAGTGTTGTAGTCAGGTATACTGCAGTAGTCAGTGTTGTAGGCAGGTATACTGCAGTAGTCAGTGTTGTAGTCAGGTATACATACTCCGGGCTGTGATCCGGCTGACAGTCACTCTCGCTTTCCTGCCGTTTAACTAACTGTTGTTCTTCGTGACGCGGCTCGACTAATCCTCTGTGGGTTACTCCCGGTAAGTTTCGTCTCGAGGAGGAGAACCGCTGTACAGGTGTCCGGGCGACGCACGCACACACACACACACTTTAAGTCTTCACACTGAGGCTCTTCCACTTACCGATCACCAACAGCAGCTTCAATAACTGCTGCCGCATCTCCCCTGTTGTCTCTACAAAGGCTCACAATCGACAACATGACTTGGAGAAGACCCAGCCATTCTTAAACTTTTATACTCATCCCTGACTCGAAGCATCCCGCCATTGCTGAAGGGAGGTCACGTGACGGGGAGCAGCGACTGTGATTGGTCAGTGTTTCAATTCCAGGTAACTCACGGCGGCTCTGGTTGGTCACTTCTTCCTGCAAAGTCATTTTCATATACAGGTACACTGAAGCCTGCCCCAATCGTCTCTGACTTTAAATTTATTTTAAGAACTTAGTCATTGGCGAGGTCATTAGGTCAAGATTCTTCGAACACTGTTGGAGACAGCTGGCAACTCAAGGCCGTTTGTTTACTATAGTACGTAGTATAATATAATACGAAACAACAAAGTCCAACCATTAATTAAGCAACGGGGAACTAAGTAACAAATCATCAATCACTTTTTCATTAATTTAAAATTCTTACCATATACCATAGTAAACAAAAGGCCTTGAGATGCCAGCTGTCTTCAGCAGTGTTCGAAGAATCTTGAACGAGACTGTACAAATACAAGTACAGGTATACAATAGACAGAGGCACAGGTACAGGTACAGAAATGTGGACTGAGCGACAGAATAATAATAATAATAATATTAATAATAATAATAATAATAATAATAATAAAAGTAACACACACACACGCACACACACACACACACACACACACACACACACACACACACACACACACACACAGATACACAAGGAACTAAAGGCTCCATCATGTCTCTGTTTAATCACAACAACAAATATATGCAGTTTTTTATTGTTAGTTTTGATGGTGGAACCTTCACCCTAACGCCAGAATGGAACCTCATGTCATGTGTGTGTGTGTGTTGTAAACCTTGAAGACGTGTTTGAATTATTGATCATGTTTTGTTTTGTGTTTTTATGCCGTGTTAGGTACTTGCTTGAGTTCATTTTGTAGTTTTCATTGTGTTTCATGATGTTTCGAATTTTAGTGTTTCAAGGTGCTTCATATTGTAGTGTTTCATAGTGGTAGAATCTTCCTGGGAGATAATAACAACATACAGTACAGGAACACAAGCTTCTGTGACTACTGAAGGACGTCTACTGCTGGGAAGTTCCAAGTGTTCTTCTTTGGTTGGTCACCCTCGGTGGCTCCGCCCTTTCTCCTCGGTTTAACCATTCCTGTATGGCCACCCTCGCTGGCTCCGCCTGCTAACTTCGTGAATGTATTTATGCCTCGTGGTCTCAATGGAAAGTGATATGTCGTAATAATTCAGTTCCCATGATGTAATTTGAGTGTTGGGAAACAAGAGAGCTAGAAAGGCGAGCTTCTTTCAATTGGAATTTCTTTTGGGTCATATTAAACGAGCCAGAGATCACAAACTTACAAATTCCTTTTTTTTATTTTACATTGCGCTGAAAATAAGTCCCAAAATAGGATTATTCATTGATGGTTATTTCTTGGTTACTTTAATTACCTTATTATTAAATTGTCTAATATATATATATATATATATATATATATATATATATATATATATATATATATATATATATATATATATATATATATATATATATATGTTAATAAAACGCACAGAGAAGAGTGCCCATAAAACTAGCCTCAGGTCCAAGGTACAGCTAACCCGCCAAAGAGGAGAACCTTGCCAGACTTAACCTAACCTAACCATTACAGCCAAGGCCTTATGTGATACTGGCTGCCTCAATCGTAATAATATACTGATATCTTGCACTGTTTACACCACACACACACACACACACACACACATGTGTATACATGATGTATTGAACCATTAATGCTGTAATAAATTTCATTGTCTTTTTCGGGCGGGTCAGCTTATCGGGTTATAAGATAGACAAATAGCTCATCGTTATATATAAATAGTGTCAATTATCATACGGGGCTATTTTACACGGCTAGTATGATTAATAGTACTCGTATGACTGCCGTGTGGTTGATTTTATCTTTGTATACGTATAATACCCCTGGTTCAGACACCCCTCCAGCTTAACGGTTCTACCCTCTCTAATGCTGTACACTTTCGGTATCTCTGCTCCCACCCGTCCACCACCGCGGACATCGATGAAGAGATTCAGCATCGGATCAGATGTGCATCTTAAGCCTTTGGCAGACTCCGAAACCGTGTCTTCAGCTGTAGGAGCTGAAATTATCCACAAAGTTATACGTATATCGAGCAGTGGTCTTGCCCACCCTGCTATACGGCACGTAGATATGGGTCACATACAGGAGGCACCTCAAGGCACTTAAAAACTTCCACCAACATAATCTACGTTCCATTTTCCGAGTTCGCTGGGAAGACAAGAGAACAAATGCCTGCATTCTTGCTGACACCAACTGTAGGAGCATCGAGGTCACCATTATCCATGAACAACTATGTTGGACTGGCCATGTTACCCACATGGACGACAGTAGACTGCCAAAGCAACTACTTTGCAGTCACCTAACGAATAGTAAACGTAACGGTGGCGGGCAACTGAAAAGGTATAAGGATAGTCTTAAGGCAAAACTGAAAGAGTGCTAAATCGACCCCCTCACCTGGGAGACGATTACTCCACATCGCAACGCTTGGAGGAGCACCACACGAGGTGCAAATCGAGGCAATCAAGCACCAACGCCGGAAAGACGCTGCCACCGGCAATCCCGCAGTCGATGTAGCCTCCCACATGTGCAACACCTGTGAACACCTGTGACGGTCCAATATCTGCCTCTTTAGTCACCTCAAAACTCACCAATGAAGGTGACATCCCTAATAACTCATATCTTTGTATTATAGCTGGGTGATCGTCATACTCGATTCCGAATGACAGCAAAGTAGTAGTAGTAGTAGTAGTAGTAGTAGTAGGCTGGAGGCCACTTACTTTTAAAAAAAAGTAGTAGTAGTAGAGTGTGTGTGTGTGTGTGTGTGTGTGTGTGTGTGTGTGTGTGTGATAGACGTCTCAACTACATTTGTTTTTCTTTTTCCAGGTAAGTGAGTTAAAACAGCTCCTCGAGGGACATTAACACACCATATCTCAGGTACGTCCAAGTTATCATATTCATTAATTATTGTTGTGTTCATCAGTTAAGTCCGGAGTCCTTCGCGTCCCACAACAGTTTTAAAGGAACGTTACGCTTTTCCCTCCATCTTTGAGGACGTTGGTGTCCCTCCCTTATCAATGATGCTGTGCGTCCATCCATCCGTCAGTCCGTCCGTCATAGATTTCGTATCCACTCGGCAACTCGTCACAAATTAGTTTCAGTGTTAGTGTGAGAGCGTAAATTCTGGCAGGGTCTTACTGGGCCGCTCTCAACCTTACAATCAAATTAATGGATCTTATCGAAGCATTCGTGTCCGGTGATAACACTTTATTTTGTTATCACGGAGAAAATTTATCCCCAGTTAAATATTCTAAGCTCTGTCATTGACCATCATATCTTTAACTCTATATTTTCTTCCAAACATTTTCACCGAGAAGGGTTTTAATCTAGTCAAGCTACAGGTGGAAATGGCACTGTGTGTATAATATTTACAGTTTTTTGTATCTATTTTCATTTCTTGAAGCCTCTAGGGCTCAATCTGGTTAGTGTTCATTTGGTTGATGCTCGCTCCACTATCAAGTTAAATATTTACGTCTTGGCCGAACATCTTACACAGTACTCTCACGGGCTCTCCACCCTCAGGCCGAACAACTTATTCCTTCCTGAAGGTAAGTCTGTCTCTCTGCCAGCTAAAATCGGTTATGCAATCATGGGAGACTAGGAAATCTCTTCCCAGAATGCACCCTGTACTCTGGTACACATAATATTCATGCGGCACATACACCCCGGGAGCAAACTCCAGTGTAAGATAGATGCACCGAGTTATATTAAAGTCACCGTGACCATCCGTCAGTGTAAGAGGGTTAGGTGACTCGTATACTAAATGGTTCAACCCGAGAAATGACACCACGTCTTCTGTGACGTACGAGACACAACTTCCTGTATCAACTAGGAACTTGACTTGCTTCTTGCCCAAAAAACATCGACACACTGGCGTTCCACATTTGTCTTAACTGAGATAACGCTCGTACAGGCGACTCCCTTTCGTCTTACCGATTTTCTGAGTTACGGCAAACTTTAAGGTGTTAACTGGTCTCGTCATTCTTGGTGCCATTGTTAAACCCAAAGTAGATAAACCAATATAGCCACCTAGGCATACAGTTGAAGTTGGATGGAAGTGTAGTGCAGTGCAGTAAAATATTGTCAGGTTGGAACACTGTCCACAGGCCTTTAGGAGTAGTAAACATTGTGAACACATGTATTAGGCATTGGTGTAGTGAACATATCTACCAGGAGTAGTGAACATATCTACCAGTAGTAGTGAACAGTTCTTATAGGCATTGGTGTAGTGAACATATTTACCAGGTGTAGTGAACACATCTTATAGGCATTGGTGTAGTGAACATATTTACCAGGAGTAGTGAACATATCTACCAGGAGTAGTGAACATTTTTATCAGATGTAGTGAACATTTCTAATAGGTAATGGTGTAGTGAAAATTTTTACCAGGAGTAGTGAACATATCTACCAGGAGTAGTGAACATTTTTATCAGATGTAGTGAACATTTCTAATAGACATTTGTGTAGTGAACATTTTTACCTGGAGTAGTGAACATTGTGAACACATCTATTAGGCATTGGTATAGTGAACATATTTACCAGGAGTAGTGAACATATCTACCAGGAGTAGTGAACATTTTTATCAGATGAAGTGAACATTTCTAATAGACATTTGTGAAGTGAACATTTTTACCTGGAGTAGTGAACATTGTGAACACATCTATTAGGCATTGGTGTAGTGAACATATTTACCAGGTGTAATGAATATATCTACCAGGAGTAGTGAACATTTCTTATAGTCATTGGTGTAGTGAACATATTTACCAGGAGTAGTGAACATATCTACCAGGAGTAGTGAACATTTCTTATAGGCATTGGTGTAGTGAACATATTTACCAGGTGTAGTGAACATTT